TCAGTCAGATACAGCCCCAAGGAGCTGGTGTGAAATGTCCCCTCTAAGAGGATTTCTATTTTTGAACAGGATCAGAGCTCCCAAGCTTTGGTAGTTTAGCTACTCCAAGGAAACAGTGAGAGAGGGGGTTGGTTACATACATACTCACCTTTTTAGTAGAATTCTGTTCACTGGGAATAAGAGAAATTCCTGGGAAGTCACATTTGCACAGGACTACAAGTCAAGCTGTGGTTGTAGAAGGCAGTAAGAAGGTACATTTAATGGCATAATACTTGCCTGCAATGCTGCTAGCACGTTGCCGTTGAATGGCACAATGATAGTCACTGCTGGAGTCTGGTCCCTGGCCACTTTTACTTGTTACACAGGGCTCTCTTCCACCTATCCACTTAGTCTGCATTGTCTGCCTCTCTGTCAGTGCCCTGAACTTGCACCTCCAGAAGCAGCCTCTCCTGTGGCTCAGTGTGAAGAAGACATTATTGCTTTTGGAGGACAGGCTTTTGCAGCCACATGCTTTGGTGAATGTGAGTGATTATAGTGGGATCTTATGTGGAGGAGTCCCCCAGGAATGTGTCAGAGCCTACCAGCTAACTGCAGGTGGATGGTGATGGTTTAGGGGTGGGACTAGATTGAAGCAAACACTGTAGCACCAGCAGTGCAATGTCAGAACTTCTATCTTCCCTTCTAAGACAATTCCTTTAGTCTTTTATTGCTGCTCTTCTCTGAAATGCCTTTGATTTGTCCAGTGTTCTGGAAATATGACATTCAGGGAGTACTCTAACTGCACTGTCATCAATGTCATACAAACTGGGTCTAACCCTTTCTGGGGCTGTTACATCATGTGATACAATTACCCTTTCTTCTTTACCTAGGCTAAAGCATAGGCACTCATACCATGGTATTGAAGAACCTAAATAGAATAGAACATCAGAAGACTAGCCTCAGATAGTAAGACTAGCATTCCAAATGGGAAATACCTGGCTAAGCAGCAGTGCTGCAGAAAAGGATCTGGGGCTTATAGCAGATCACAAATTGGATGAGTCAACAGTGTAATGCTGTTGTGAAAAAGACAAATGTCATTCTGGGCCATTTAACAGGAGTGTTGTATCTTCTCGGCACTGGTGAGGCCTCAGCTGGAATACTATGCCCAGTTTTGGGCACTGCACTTTAAAAAAAGATATGAACAAATTGGAGTGAGTCCAAAGGAGAGCAACAAAAATGATAAGAGGTTTAGAAAACCTGGCCTATGAGGAAAGGTGGATAGTACTGGGCATGTTTAATCTAGAGAAGAGAAGGCTGAGGTGTACATGATAATAGTCTTCAAATATGTCAATGGCTGTTATAAAGAGAATGGGGATCATTTGTTCTCCAGGTCCACTGAGAGTAGGACAAGAAGTAATGAGCCTAAGCTGCAGGAAGGGAGATTTCAGATAAATATTAGGAAAAACTAACTGTAAAGTTAGTTAAGCACTGGAACAGATTACCTCAGATGGTTGTGGAATCCCTGTCACTGGAGATTTTTAAGACTAGGTCGTTAGACACGCATCTGTCAGAGATGGTCGAGGTATATTTAATCTTGCCTCAGGGTGGGGAAAGGTCTCTAGATGACCTCTTGAAGTGCCTTCAGTCCTACATTTCTATAATGTACTTTATTCATCTACAACGACTGATTTAACTTCTTCCTAACTTCGTAATTCTACTTTCCATTGATTAAACAACAACATTTTCTCATGGGACCATCTTGTTACATAAGTGGCCTTTAAGGGCCTGTTCCTGCGAGGTGCCAAGCAATGGAAGTCACAAATACTCAATACTTCACAAGAACAGGCTCCAGTCAGTGTGGTTTTTTTTTCACTGTGTGGTCATGAGGAAACATCCCCTTTGTTCAGATATGAGCAAGCTGCAAGGACAACATCTGCAATCTATACGGCCTGGTTCTCCTCTCACCTTCATATTGTTCTGTTCCTTGAGAGCAGCATTCCACCCTCTACCAGCATGAGAAATAGACACTCAGATCTTCCCACACCTCCTTTCAGAATGAAACTTAATCTTGTTTCTTTTTAACGGGTGTTGTTTGTCGTGAAGACAGGCCCAGAAATGTGAAACAAAGGAAAGGAAACAATTTGTTACAAATGATGAATCAAACGGTGGGTTAGTTCCAAAAAAGGCAAGTACTTAAAATGTTGTAAAAGTACCACACGTTGTGTGTCCTAACAATGCCCTGTGTCGTGGTACCCAGAAACCTCGGGGATAAGCACGTTAGATCAATGTAAATCTACCTAAAGCTTATGCTTCAGGGTTTCAGCAGGCCAGTGTCCAGGATAAGTAAGGGATTCCCCCACTCCCCGGCCCCATGTATTCTGAGAGGGTTTTTTAAATCTCCTTTCTCTGAAGCATCAGGGATGACCACGGCTGGAGATGGTGGAGGGGGACAGAGGGAGGTTGGGCCAGGGCACTGTGGTGGTGCTGAGCATTCTTTCTCTCTCACTCAGGGGCGTGACTGGCTGCTTGTTGCTCACATGCTCAGAGTGTAACTGATCCCCATATGTGGGCTTGGGAAGGAATTTTCCCCCAGGTCAGATTGGCATAGGGTGACCAGATGTCCCGATTTTATAGGGACAGTCCCGATTTTGGGGTCTTTTTCTTATATAGGCTCCTATTACCCCCCACCCCGTCCTGATTTTTCACACTTGCTGTCTGGTCACCCTAGATTGGCAGTCAGTCACCTTGGGGTTTTTTTCCGGTTGTTTGGGGTTTTTCCCCTTCTTCTGCAGCGTATGGGTCACTTATCAGGATTATCTGAGTATATCTCAATGATTTCCCTGCCACGGCAGGGGCCTTAGACACTGGTGGACCTTGATCCCTTCTGTTCTCTGGGTGGTGCCGGTGGCCTGTGATTTACACGAGGTCAGACTAGAGTGGTCCCTTCTGGCCTTAAACACTATATGATTCTATGCCACTTTAGCTAGCTAGCTAGTCCACACGATACGGTAACAGTACAGGCTGAAGCAGTGTGTCCGTGTCTTAGAGGAAGTGGTAGTGTTAGAGGAGTACAAGTACCACCTGATGGGAGTTAACTTTTTTTATTATTAAAACCAAAGCAAATGCTGCATCTCTATTAATGAGTGCATGACATATGGTGCAGTAGCCTTGTTTCCTTGGTATTCATCTCCAGTATGTACCTGGCTTTCTCCTTTTGTCTACCAAAAAGTACTGGACAAGTCTAACGTCTAAAACCCAGAATGTATTGGTGTTGAATTCTCTGGTCGCACTCCGTGGCTGCGCTGAGCTACCCTGTGCCTCTGGTCCAACACAAAGCTGTCCTAAATGGCCGGCTTAAATGGCCTCAGCAGGGATCACCCTAGTAGAAAGAAACCCTTCAGTAGCAGAGAGTTGATGTAGTGGCTCCTCTGCTACACCTCTCTGTGGCTGGACTGGGGTGGTTGGGGGACAGGGAAGATGGCTATGGCTTCCGGGGGCCCTGACAATCGCCATCTGCTATAACAGTTCCTGGGATCACTGGCAGCTGGCATAATTTAGAGCAACCCCCACAGCGCTGTAAATTATCCCAGGGGAGTGACCCAAGATATGGGGAAAAGAAACATGGCTTAAAGCTATCTTTGTCCCCACTCCTACACTCCATGTTACACTGGGAGCAGACCTGCTGAGAGAAATTTGGGGCCCTGGCATATCATGTTTTCTGGGATCTCAACCTCTCCCATTTCATCCCAGTTAGACATTTTGGGGGTGACCTGTGATTGGGGTCCTGGTACAGTTGTCCCCCCTTTCTCAGCCTCTCATCAGCCCTGACTGTGGCAGCCAAGGATCAGGGTCTTTGGCTCTCATAATTACAAACCCTTGTGCTGAGTGAAGAAGCCATCAGTTGACTGAGAGGAAAACCACTGATGAACCATTTCTTCTTAATAATCTTGTCTGAATTGAGGTTTTACCCTTTTAAAAAAAAAGGCTTCAAGCATATTTTTGAAATTGGTGTGCTGGAGGTTTGCTGTTAGATGTTAGGTGGAAGAACAATAATGAGTAGTTTATACTGAGCCAAAGTGACTTCACTGGAGTTACACCAGTAATTAATTTGGCTTATTATTGTCCATTTCTGACCTAATCATCCCTCTTCTCCCTAGAAAATGCAGTAGAAAGGCTCAAGGCAGCAGAGCAATTTCTAGTTTTTGAATCACACAATCAGGAAACAATACCAGCATGGTATTTAATTAATTAAGTTCCTCATCTTGCTCTTAAAAGAGACTGGTGCAGACTGCAAGGAGATTCTGGCATGAACGGTTGTTCTAATGCATGTCCCCCACAACTGTGTTGCCAACTGTCACAGTTTTATCATGAGTCTCACAATATTCATGGTTTGTTTGTTTTTAAAGCCCCAGCTCCTGGAGTCAGGTATTTAGAGAATCCCAGCTTTCTTTAAAAAAAAAAAAGTTTCTAGCCCTTATGATTACAGAGAAAAGATTGAAAATCCGATCCCTAAGGAAGAAAACAAAACCCAACAGCAGCAACAACCAGGAGACCAATAAAAAGAACCCCAAATGTCTTCTTATTCAATTTCACCTGATTTGTAAGACAATCTCATGATGCCAGAGGGCTTGGCCCATGAGTTTGTCATGCCTGGGGTTGGCCATACTGCCACAATGAATGTACCCATACAGCCTTTCCCCACTTCTGTGAAGAGTTTGATCAAAGTGCAGAACACTCTATAAAAGAGGAGTTCAAGTCTAAGATGAAATGGGAAAGGGTCTTTAAAACTTTCCTGAGACACATTCTGAACAGTTAACAGTACTATGTACAGGACAAGTGAGATTTCAGACGGCCAGGTTTCTAGTCCTGGAGCGTGGGCACCAGTACCCAGAACCAAAGTAAACCAAACGTGGAGTAGGAGCTAGACAAAGCTTGGAAGGAGTTTGCCCAAGATGTAAAGGAAGTACCCCGAGAGCCAGTTCCCAGCAGTACCTTGGCTTTGTGGGCCTCTTAAGCCTTACCTTGGACAGACATTCCTCTGGTTCCCACCTGGCTGGAGCCCCTCGCCCTCCTCACTTGTCCTTCAGCGCTGCCATGCCCAGGGACTCTGAGCCGTAGTCATACTGGTTGCTGGAGGACGTGGCCCTTCCCCAGGAGCACTGCAGGTTGGAGCTCCGCTTGCGGAAGGAGGAGGTGAAGCGGTAGAAGCTGCGGTGCCTGTTGCGCAGGTACTCCCGGTAGTTCTTGGTGAGCAGGGTGTAGAGGAAGGGGTTGATGCAGCTGTTGCTGTAGGTCAGGCAGGTCACCAGGTAGTTAATGCACTTTTGGGTCTGCGAAGTCAGCTGCAGGGAGCTGTGGTAGAGGCGCACCAGCTGCCAGACCCAGAAGGGCAGGAAGCAAGCCCAGAAGACCAGCACGATGCTGAAGACCATGATCAGCACCTTCTGCCTGGGGGACCTCTTGCCCTCCTTGTGGGGCGGGTTCCTCTGGGACTCCAGGTAGGTCCTGGCCAGGCGCGTGTACAGGTAGCCGATGATCACCCCCGGGGCCATGATGCTGGTGCTGAACAGCACGGTCAGGTAGGTCCTGTAGGCGTCGGCGCTCCACGTCGGGGCGCACATCCGCTTCACCTTGCCCCCGGCCTGGCCCGCCTCGGTCAGCGTGACCATCAGCATCATGGGCAGGGTGAGCAGCAGGGAGACGGACCACACGGCCCCGGCCGTGGCTTTGCGGTAGCCCCGGGAGCGCTTGAGGCTGTCCAGGGGCCGGGTGACGGCCAGGTAGCGCTCGGCGCACATGAGGGTGAGGGTGAAGATGCTGGCGTGCATGGTGAGCAGGTCCAGGCTGAGCAGGACGCGGCAGCCCAGGTCCCCGAAGTACCAGTCCTGCGCCAGGTAGGTGCAGACGATGAAGGGGATGGTGGAGAGGTAGAGCAGGTCGGCCAGCGCCAGGCTGATGATGGAGCTGTACATGGGGGCGGCGCAGCGCGCGGACTGGCACATCACCGCCAGGGTGTACAGGTTCCCCGCCACCCCGGCCACGCACATGCAGGACAGCACCGTGCCGAAGGCGGAGGTGATGAGCAGCTCGCTGCCGCCGCCGCCCGAGCCCGCCGCCCGGCCGGACGCGTTGCCTGCCCCGCCGGCGGTGAGGTTGGGCTCCATGGGGGCTCAGGGCAGGCGGCCTCCGGCTGCAGGGCGCCCGGCGGCGGGCATCGCCCGGGCTGCTGCGCCCTGCCTGGCGCGCTCCCCGGCTCAGCTGCTCAGCCGGGACAGGAGCCGCCCCCGAGCCCCTTCCAGCGTCCAGCGGGGCCCTTCCCGCGGTGCCCGCTGCAGCCCGGGGGCGAGTCCCAGCCGGCCAAGCCACTCGGCGAGGGGCAGGGCTCTGGCTCCGGCCCCCAGCCGCCGCCGGGGCTCCGCGCCTTGGGGACGGGCGGGCGGCGAGTGGCTCTGGGTTGCGAACGCTGCCGGGAGCAGCCGCGGCGGGGGGGCGGGGGGATGTGGCCATCGGACGCTCGGCTCGTGATGGGGGTGAGCTGGGTGCGTGTGTCTGGGCGTGCCCGGGTCACTCCGGGCGTGGGCTGGCCCCGGGCTCCGCCAGAGCCGGGCAGCTGCTGCTTCATTCACACCCATCCCAGGACCCACGGGGAGGGCCCCTCCCCAGCTGCAGCCCCGGGGCCGAGTGAAGGCGAAACTAGGGACCCATGAACGCGCCCCACCCATCCCGGCTCATCCCGGGGCCTGGGGGAGGCAGGAACGTTGCTGAGGGGCAGCGGGTCAGACCTCAGTGGTTTGGATCCCTGCAATGGGCAGAGCCCGGGGCACAGATAGCCGGCTGCATCCTCTTCTGGCCATGGGAATGAAGCCACCAGGAGCCGAGTGACAAATCCTGGGCAATAATTAATAGAGTGTTTTACAAACCCGGCTCCTGTTCCTGCCCCTCTGTGGTGGGCAAAGGAGCGGCTGGAGTGGCGGGGTGAGCATGACCCCTCCTGGTGAGAAGCCATCTGAGGTTCGTAGGCCTGCCCCCTACGTAGGCTGTTGGGAGAGGGTTTCGGACAGGGCATGCCCTGCCAACTGGGAACTGAACATTAGAGCAGCCCCTCTGGAGGGGGAAAGGGGTGACAACATGGCAAGGGGTTTAGAAAACCTGATCTGTGAGGGCATGTGCAGTAGTCTTGAGGGGAGACCTAACAAGACTTCAAATCAACAACAAAGGAGAGTTAGCTAGATTGAGATGTTAAGGAACTCTTCTTAGTTATAAGGACAGTTAAGCAGTGGAGCAACTCACCTGGCTGGTTGGCTCATTGGAGGTTGTTAAGAAGAGGTTGGAAAAACACCTGTCAGCGATGGTCTAAGGTTTCCTTGCCCCTGCCTCAGTGTGGGAGGCTGCACTAGAATAGATGACTCCTGGAAGTACCTTCCAGCCCTGTGATTCTGTAAGTTACGCTGGAGCTGGACCAGGTTGAGAATGAGATAGACATAACCACCTCCCTGGCTGCTGCACTGCCCTTCCCCCCTACACCAAGTTGATCTTCTTGGCACACGGGAGAATCAGGGTCTTACGTATTTAGTTTCACAAAGAGGCCCGCCAGGAAAGGAAGGATTATTAATCCCCTTGTGAAGGCACATAGGAGCTAGAACTAGGGGTGTTGCTGTACCCTCTGGCTTGAATGGTTTCCATCAGATACAGTAAGGGTGGGCAAACTTTTTGGCCTGAGGGCCACACTGGGGCATGGAAATCGTATGGCGGGCCATGAATGCTCACAAAATTGGGGGTAGGGGTGCGGGAGGAGGTGAGGGCTCCAGCTGGGGGTGTGGGCTCTGGGGTGGGGCTGGGGATGAGGGGCTCGAGGTGAAGGAGGGTGCTCCAGGCTGGGACCAAAGGGTTCAGAGGG